ATGTAAGGTGAATGACAAGCTAAGGTGAATGACAAGCTATGGAAATTGAGGTTGATGTAAGGTGAATGACAAGCTATGGAAAGGTTGATGTAAGGTAATGACAAGTTATGGAAAGTGACTTTAGCCTATGACTTAGCTAAAGTGAGGATGACAACTCATACATACAACCCATCCATACAAACCGGTTTCAATATTCTCATAACAAATATGGGTTATTCCGTGGGAACTCTTTACCACATAGACTGCATTCAGAGGATTCTTGATCATTTCATGTCAATAAACCAGGCTTCCCTTGCATCATCTTCCCCATGCATAATCGAAGAGGGGCAACTGATGACTGGCACTGACCCACTGACACCTATTAGGTAGCCGGTCTGGTGGATATCACCTTGCCGAGGTCGCGCCAGATGTTAATTTGAAGTTACCAAAATTTCAGTCACTTGCTGCTGTCATCCCTGAATATGCCCGGCCGCTGGATGATGGCATATATCATGCAATCGATGTTTTCTTGAAGGTAAAACAAACTTAAGTGCATGGCTGCTGGAAAAAAAAATGTCAATGGTTCTTCTTGCTGGTCTGATTTGTATTTAGACTAGCACTCTGTGAATAGCCTCGCACTCTAAATTTTACATTTGAAATTCCAAATATTAATGTCATCTGCACCAAAAGCGATTAGAGTGTTATAGTATTTGACTAGAGCTTAAAAAATTCCTGCATTTTTAAACTAGGACATTACTAATATGTTACCAAATTCGAGAGTACCGCAGATCATTGGGATAATATGTTTTCTATGACCATGGTGCCTATGTCTGATTATGCATGCTGACAACATTGCATTATTCCACAACCTCAGGCACATCCTTGGCTTCAGATTCTGAAAGGGAGCAACTCTGCAGACTAATGAACTGCCAGAAGCTTTCGCTGGAAGCAAGCACCCATGCAGCTCAGAACGAGAGGTTACCACTTCGAGTAATTGTCCAAGTCCTCTTCTTTGAAAAGCTTCGACTGCGTACATCAATTTCTGGCTGGTTCTTTGTTGACAATCTTGAGAACTCACAAAATCCAAGTGGAAACCTTGGGCTCCCAGCCAAAAAATGCTGTGTCCGGGCAAGTGGACACTGCAGAAGACCAAACTGTGGGTGTCGATCATCACGACATGAGGAAACGCGTTTTAGAGCTTCAAAAGGAGTGTTCAAACATGAAAAAGGAGCTGCAGAAGCTGGTCAAGACCAAGAGAAGTTGGAGCATCCTTCCCAAAAGGTTAGGTTTTAGAAAAAAGTTGGAGCCTTGCAAATCCAAAAGAAGCAACAATCGGTAAAACATGCAATCATGTGAGTGGCTCATTCAACCTCAAACCCTAAATTTTTTTTTTTTATTTAATTTTTGTATTTATGTTCCATTATTTCTTGGCTGGTAGAAATTGCTTATTCTCTTGCATGTCAGTGAACTGGATTAAGTGGTGTATTGTTTAGAAGAAGTTAGGTTGTTATTCGATCCAATCAAATTATTTACCTTGTTGATACATAGGTGGCTGAAATTAGAAAAAATTTAATTTCATATATAAGATCTTGTTTACATTATTTTGGACCTTGAGTTTTATCATTCACACTTACTCAAAATGCTAGAAATGCTCTGCATCATATAAAGTTGATTTTGCTTGAGTTGAGCAGATACTAGCATAGTAAACCGCAAGCATATCGCGGTCTAGTTCATTATTCTAACCTACGAGGTCCGAAATAAAACTATACAAGCTACACGGATCAAAATCATAATTATCCGTCTTCAAAATGAAACGAAGTATTGAACAATAGGTCAATGCACCTTGACACAACAACCGGGCACACGTTTCACACGTTGAGTCACTTAGCCTTGCTACAACTGTAGAAGTGGAATTCCATGATGTTCTATTCAAGCCGGTGTCACAGATTGAATTTCATGGAGATTTTCTCGTACACTTTCAGCCTAACTTGCTGAGAAACTTTCTGAAAGAAATGTACACTTCTTTCTCTCTTTTTCAATAAAGCTTTGGACCTATTGACAAAAATCATAACAGATAGGACTGCACTATAGGAGCTTTAACCTTTTGCTCTTATCTCTGATGCTTCAGACGTCATTTTGATTAACACCATCTCACTTTGTACCATCTTTGTATTTTTCACATTGGAAGTTTAAAAAAGAGCTTGGCTATGATTGGACATATACCTCTCTCTTTCACGTGATAAGGGAGATATAGAAAAGAAAATGTTTTCCTGTTACATGTACGGTGTGATTTGATGAGTGAGATAGAAATAAGAGAATATAGTCACGTGATAACTGAGATTGAAAAAGAAATGTAGTATTGTCACATAACTTAGTTATTAAGAATTATACATTTCCAATGACCTGCATGGTGTCACGTAAGAAAGAGAGGAGAATATATTTCTAATTACATGTATATATGGTGTCTCTTAATGAGTGAGAAAGAAAAGATTATTCACGTGATGAATGAGAAAGACATAAAAACATATAGTCACATTATAAGCGAGATAACAAAAGAGAATTATCTTCGATTACTAATAAAATTACTCGATGAGTGAGAGATGGTGACACGAGAATATAATCCCTTTCAAAAAGTAAGAGTCGCACCGGCCCTCAGAGCTCTTCCATACACACACTACACAGTCAGTGGAATCAAACCACAGGCACCCAAAAGAAACTGGGTCCTAACTGTCCCAGAAAATTGGCTTTTACTTTTCTATGTTAACAACAAGTGGCCCTCCATAGGCTATAAATCACATGCCATTGTCCCATTTGTCGGACAGCAAAGGACACCGTTTCTATTTCCCAAGATTGGCTCCCTTCCCTCCAAATTTCAATCAAACTTTTACTTGACTAATGACTCACACCTCTGTTTTATTTTTATCAAAGCAACAACATTTCATTACAAAAGCTCACAATACAAAGTCCAAACAAATAAATAACTAAAAAGAGGCCCAACAGTAATTATAAGTAGAAGTTGAGCCAAGCCAAGATTGAAAGCATCCCCCAAACAATAACCTCAATAGCCACAAAATAACTCCACGAACCAGCAGCCGCCGCCGCAACAAAGCTTAGCACCACCACGATAATCACCACAGTAATCACTGGAACGCAGGTCCAGAAATAGACTTGAAGAGACCAGGCGAGGATGGGGACGAACCAACACATACTCTTTTGGTCAAACAACAGATCCAAAATGATCCTCGACTCTGAAGACCTTGCAGCCGATATCCATCTACCATTGTGATGTGGGGCGAGCTGGCGAAAGGAGGAACAGTGGTGAACTCAGCGGATAGGGGGAGAACCGTTGTAGTCTCATTATTCTTTCTCTTAACGGTCACAAAAGAAACCCAGAAACCCAGCATTAAGCTTAGTTTCCACTTCAGAAAATTGGTTCTTGACCTCATTCTTCCACCGAATTCCAACGGTCACAAAAGAAACCGTTAAGAGAAAGAATAATGAGACTACAAAGGTTCTCCCCCTGTCCACTGAGTTTACTACAAATCTTAATGCTGGGTTTCTGGGTTTCTTTTGTGACCGTTAGGGAACGGTCACAAAATTGGGGGAGGATAACGGATTCGTGGACACACGACTCTGCATGTGATCAACATTGATGGACGATAACGGATTGGTGTTAACCATTGTAACTCCCCTCTCCATAGTAAAGTTACTCCTAGCTTTCTCCATACTCACATGATATTGTCCAGGTTGAGGAACATGAAAAGAACCAACGGAGGAAGGGAGTCTTTGGTTTGTTATAAGTCTAGGCTTCCTAGTAGCACCAGAGGTTGCAACCACGGCTTGAGGGCTCGATGAGTCTACCTCTAGCTGGCACCAAGCAATTGCAACGACCCTTCAAAAACACCAAATAACACCCTTCCCACACGACAATTAAAGAAGAACAGCACACAGAAAGCAAATCTAAGATATAACTGAAGGCAATTATCTATCACCCACTAGCCTGAATGATTTAACTTCTACTTAAATTAGCAAACTGTCCCAATTAACAGACCTACACCACCCAAACTGAACCATTGACCAAACAAAATTAACTACCAAGGTCGGAAGAATCAGAAAGGGAAGAAGCCCGCAATGGCGTCACAGCCCCACAAACCCTAGAGCCATCCAGAATAAGGTGGGTTGCATTTTAGGGGTAATCTTTTGATTTCCTACTTTAATATTTTATTGGAATTAGGAGTTTGTTTGAAAGTGTTTTTAAAATAACTTAAAGCGTTTTTGGTGAAGATACTTTTAAAACCAATTCTTAGTAAAAATCTAAGTGAATTCTAAAAAAAACGCTTTAAGTGTTTCTGGTAGGAAGCACATATCTGGTGCTTCTTCCAACAAGCACTTAAAGTGCTTTTAGGACCCAAAATGAATTTCATAAAAAACGTTTTCAGTTATTTTAAAAGTACTTCTAAAAGAGTTTTAGATTTAGATTAGGATTTCTTTCCTAGAATAAGTTTACTTTCCTATGTCCTTTAGGTTTACGTCCTTATAAATACCCAGTAATTCAGATTAAAAACAATGAAGAGTTTATGAATAGAAAAGTTTAGTTTTCTAGAGACTGGAATTCTTATCATGCGATGAGATTATTTTGGTGAGATGCCAAAATTCTTGGTGAGAGGCCAAGAACGGGTGTGATGCCCCTGGAGTGATTCTAGATTATTTTATATTTTTCTTTTTGTTTAAGTTTTCTGTGTTTTCGCTTTTGCTAAACTATCTAAATTTTGCTGTCAAGCTCTGTACTACATCGAACACAATACCTCGTACGTAAAGGTATATGTCCTTAAAACACTTGATCATGTGATTGATACAATCCTAAATAATTGTTAACCCATATGCTCAATTCGTTGATACAAGTGATACTATGAGAGGAGAGTCAGACAAAATACCTTGAATGCGGAGGTAAATATTGTTAATCATCACTTGAGTTTCAGGCCTCTTATGATAAGACATGACAAGTTAAAACAAAGCGTATGTGCAGAACAATAAAGGTATAAATTCGTTAATATATGGGAAGGTTCACAAAAGCCTTAGTTACTTACAAGTTATAAAAGGGGCAGGAAATTTCCACAGACAGAGTATTGAAGCTTCACATAGTGAGGTCAATTCCAATAATTTACAAGGGAAAACCAAAAATAAAAGATGAAAAAAAAAATCCCCATATTACAAATTTAGAGTTCTAAAAATTAGCTTCTTCAACTTCCAAAATTCCAACAAGCTTTAGTGCACTAGTGCTTGAATGCTGCCAAGCAAGTATCACCTTGAGATGTCATATTCTTGTGTGTAGCCAAGCTGCTCCATCTCCCAATTCAACTTTGAAGCAACTCTTTCATGACATGGGACATAATCCTGTAGCGCCAAAAGTAACTAAACATCAAACAAATTTTCAACTTAGGGAAAAGCGCCGGTCCCCTGCATCAGAGTTCAAATCGCTCTCTCTCCCTTAGATTAGAGTACTATACAATGTTTGAAATTACCTCCAGCTTCTTCACCAGCTCCTTGGCTGTTGGTGCTGATATAATTATGTGGCGTGCGCTCGGGCTAACAAATCCCTCTTCCACGGCCTTATCGATGAACGATAGTAAGGAATTGTAGTATCCATCAACATTCAGCAATCCCACCTGCACAGACAGGAACAAAGGTGGATTAAGCCTAAAAGTTCATGAGTTTTTACCCTCAACTGGTAATAAAAATGCAGAAAAAAGGAAATTACCGGCTTGTCATGAATTCCAAGCTGAGCCCAGGTTATAACTTCAAGTAACTCTTCCAGAGTTCCATAACCACCTACAATGAAAAATTAAATAAGTATTTGCAGTACAAAGTTTACAGTCCAAGCTTGATACTTCATGTCTTATATTGTAGTTATTAAGTTATGACGTACGTAACGAAGTGATAAACACAATGAAATATACAACTGGCATAGTACGATTCTCGCCACATCTGAGAGGCAAAACAAGACAACTAGTAGTGGAATAAGGACAATGACTATGCTGTTAATATAATTTCTTGGGGTGGAAGGTAAAAAGAGACTGAAAATACTGACTGTTCCATCTGGACTTTCAACCTTGGTGAAATGTACTTTGACCATGGAATATGAATAGTTACAATTTTACTATCAACTCCTTATGATGGTCATGGCCAACCCAAGCAAGGCAATAATGGGTCTTCATACAAACAAAAATACTTGGAGTTTTTAGAGAGGAAAAGTGAAAAAAAAAATGATGGGATGTTAAACTTAATGAGTGAAAGTGTTAAGCATCATATTCCCTGTCAGGTGCAGGTGCTGGTTGACAGAGCCAATTAGTGAAACAATTGGTGTGGTCAATATTTACAGCTAAAGACTATATTTGGCAAAACAGGATATTAAACCACACAAGCAAAAGCACAATTCCTCAGAAAACCTATAATATTCAGTGCAAGATGTTGATGTGTCATGCACTGGGGACTCTTTGAGGGGTTGCTCTCTGGGTAATCATGGTGTTTCTTGGGTGTTGTGTCTCAAGCTTGAGGAATTTGTCGTAGTTTACAAATTCACACATTCACACATTCACAATCACAACATTATCCAATATGAGTGCATTCAGACCATCAAAAAAGACTGTTTCAACAGTAAATTATCAAGACTATTTTAATTTTTTTCTTGCCCAAATCATTATGCTACTGTGTTTTGTCGTGCACTCAGGTGAGGATGGATCAAGAACTTCCATTTATTTCCAATTTAGCTTATTGGGGAGTGATATTTAAGTTTGAATACGAGTTTTTCTACGATAGTATATTTTGTTATATGTGCACATTCATCAATAACGTTATTATTTTATATTGTAAAAAAGAAAAATAAACATGGTACATTTAAAGATTAAAAGAGTAATTATACGTGGTATACATTGTTGTGTTTTAGAATTTTCATCTCAATACTACTCACAAGAATCAAAAAGCGGACTTGCATGCTAAAGTTGGTAAATTAAAGCCATGGAAGTACCATATTTTTTTATTTGTTTAAAAATTCTGGTGTATGAGAGAGAGAGAGAGAGAGAGAGAGAGAGAGAGAGAGAGAGAGAGGTTGAGGACTTATACTAACCGGGTAAGGCAATAAAAGCATCTGAGTGCTTAGCCATCTCTGCCTTTCTTTGATGCATGCCTGCAACTGCCTTCACTTCCCCCACAGTCTCACCAGTTAACTGCAAAATGGCATCAATGCACACAACAAATTTTAGAGAGAAAGAAGAGAGAGAGAGAGAGAGAGAGAGAGAGAGAGAGAAATTTGGAGGTTTTTGCACCAAAGCAATGATGAGAGTTGCAGAAACGATGAAATTAATACAAAATTTTGAACCCCAGACAATATTTCTGAGATGGAAAAATAAATAAAGTTCGATATATAGAAAATGCCAAGACAGAAGAACACAAGAAGAACAATTACTTTATAGCACAAGTGAGCATGACATCCGGAGTATATGATACTTCATGTGATATGACCATTAGATCTTGATAATTATATCTTTGACCAATGATCTAACAGTCCGGAGTATAAGATATCTCAAGTGTATTGAAACTCAAAAGAATCAGCAAGCTGTGGGATATTATTATTAGGGTTAGTGGGGTAGTGCCAACTACTCAAGTGTCATGGATAAGCCTCCCCAACCAAGCATCCATTGAAGAAGAAACGGAATTCTAGGGAACCAAACAGAGAATAACACAACCCAAAAGCAAAAAACAAAACGCGAAAGGGAGCAAAACAAAATAAACCAGAAAACAGTAGCTAAAAGTGCTCATATCATTCCCACCGAAGAAAAAGAGAAAGCAAGTGATTAAAAAGAAAGAACTAAGCCTTAATCTAAATCCCAATAAAACTATGGTATACTATATATATATATATATATTGTATTCTTTGCAACCAGAAAAGTTGAAGGACTTTTATGTGGGCGGAGGAGACATACCTCTCGAGGCATGAGCGTCTTGGGAATAACTCTGCAGGGTGAGACAATAACATGACAAAATCAGTATGTAATGCAGGACTAAACCAACCATAATTCTTTCTTAATCTCTTTGTTTAGTCTTTAATTATCATCTGAGCTTTGATATAATAAGAGTACCCAATGACATGGCGACCACCATCATGAACTGCTTGTGAGACCAAACCCATCAGTCCTATGCTTCCCCCTCCATACACCAGATCAATGTTCCTTGAAACCTTCAACAAAAATGTTCCAAGTTATAAGTTTAGAGAGAGAGGGAGAAATATTTACATTGGCATACATTCTGCTAAAGTTTCTGTAAAAATCTCATGACCCAAATGACAAACAAGTTACAATCATAATGTGGTTGTCCCAAAAAAACAGAACAAGCTAACATGAAAAATATAAAAAAACATAAAGATGATCAAGTTTTAGCAACTCCAACTAATTCCCAGCAAAACCCATCTCACACAAACAAGAAACAAGAACAAAAACATCCTAAAAAATCACATTCAAATTCAAATGACAACAAAAAATTTAAAATTTTTCCATGAACCCAACTGTCAAAAAACCACCAGAAAACTATATTTGAACCCAAATGTGCTCTCCCTCTGTACCCAAGTCGAATCCCCCTACCCCGTAGTTTAGATGGATATCCTATTGTTTGTCAAAAGAAGAAAAGAAGAAGAAGCCATTGTTTTATACCAGTTCCTTGCCAAGTTCAATGGCAGCATCCTGATAGCTGCTCTTCTTCCCTTGGCTGCTCCCACAAAACACACAAATCCTCCTAAACCTGGATTGCTGCTTCATTTCACTCTCAATCTCCATTCTTTCTTGCTCAAACCACTCAACTTTTTATGTTACTTTTCAGAATCAAATGGATAATTTAAGACACAACTTTTTTCTGCTAGTTCCTCTGTCTCTGTTTTACTTCTGACCTTACAGAACTTCCCAACTTTGTGTTGGTGGTGCCGTTTCTCGACATGCGTATTTATAAGCACCCCCCGCACATGAGTGCCTCTTTAGCACGCTTGAAGTTCACACGCTTTGCAAACACACACACTCACAAAAGTGCACAACTACAAAGCATTGGCACGCGTGGACCACTCTGTTTTTATTTGTGTTTTTCTTGCTTTTCTTTCATTTGGTGACCAAAATTTTAAACTAAATATGCAAACCAAACAATGTATCACCAGTATAAAATAAGCACGTTATTCAACACTTAAGTAATAATTCAATTATCAACAATCATATCATTTGGTTTATAATTTTAGTTTAAAAAATTTGGTCTCCCTAACATTATCTTTTTTAAGTCTCCCCCCTCCCCCCCCCCTCCTAACACACCGCTTGTTGGTTTCGTGCCATTGTGATCAGAAATAAATTAGGGCGTAAATTAAGTTATCCCAGTTTTATATTTATGAAATAATATTGTTATTCTTCCGGAATTAATGCTTGAATGTAAAATAGAACAAGGCAAGTAGTTACTTCATTTTTTATACACAAGGATTGAAGGGTTTGACTTGTTACAACTTGGAAGCTTACAACGTCGTAGAGTATGCACACATACACAAGTAAAGTTCGACTCTTACACTTCTCTTTTTTTATGTTATAATAAAAATGCAGCTATACCACAATCGGAGAATAGTTAATAGTTAATACAAGGGAACTTTAACGAAAAACTCATAGTACTATTCACTTTAACGAAAAATCACATTTTTACACTAAAAAGTTAATCCTGGTACTATTCACTTTACCCTTTATTTTGTCCTTATCATTAAAACTTAAAGTTTTCAAGCAATTTTTCTTTAATTTTCCTTTAATACACTGCCCCTTGTAAAGCAAAATAAATTTTGGGTTTGAGTCTAAAACTCGTGCTTGACAGTGATGTTGAACTAAGTTCGAATGTTTCGAGATTAATGACTATAATGCTCGGATCACTAACCTGCGAAACTAATTAGACAAGAACGATTATCCCTAAACTAATTATCAAGGGAAATTAATTCTTAAGGCCAATATCACTAATTAAGTTGGAAAAATTATTTTTATTTATCCTTCAGCTTCAATAGACCTTGAAAATAGTAGTTTATCCATTCAAGTCCAATCATCTGTACCACTAAATCTCAATAATGTATTTGATGCATGAGAATTATGAAAGATTTAAATATGATTGAGAGAGTATTTTAGTTTTCTATTAAAACTTTTCTTGCAAGTATTTATTGATTAACTTCTTGGGAGCAGCCTCTCCATAAATGGGGGTAAGGTTAGCCGACATTCACCTCTCCCAGACCCTGTGTAAAGCGGAAGTCTTGTGCACTGGGTACGACCTTTTTTTTTATTTATTGATTAACTTGTGGAATTTTGGCCAAATACATGTTCTAATTTTCAAAGAATCATTTGAAAATGGTTCAACATTTGGCATGAATACCTTTACACTAATCTATTATTAACACAAACAAATAGATGAAACATCCATAGATAGTAAGCCAATAATGTTTCATACTCTAAATTAGGCAAAAAATGCAAAGATATTAAAACATTAAAGACAATCTAAGTTAAAAGCCATCCACTAGTGTTCATTTAATTAACAACAATATACCGAGCCCATTCTATTTATTTATCTCAGGATAATCAACTTTAAGGACACAGACAAACGTCCATTTTTTTTTAACCTAGGAAAAAGCCAAAAAATGGACAATCCCACAGGGGTGTGTATATTTATTTAAACCATTCAAGATGGGCATCACTGACTAATTTAATTGTATTTTTATGACATTTTAACATTTACATATATTTATGTGAGAAAACAAGAAAAGTATGGGTAAGTTCAGAAGGCAATGGTGGTGGTGGATAAATATATGGAGCATTGTGCATATATGATTGAATAAACAACATTAGTGGGTTATGACCTATCAACTTGTGCCCCCATCGACAGTCCTTCACTCGACACACTTGTTGTATGGATAGGAAACACTTCCAATTTCTTTCACGCGCTCCTTCCCCTTCCCCATATCCACCACCCTCCACCACCACCTCCACCTCCTCTTCACTTCCCTTCTCCAAGCATGCTCTCCCCAATACACATCTATACTACACTTATATCACTAATTGCATTCCCATCTTCTCCACCTATCAAACACGACCTTCTCCATAAACCATATTTTTTATATTAATTGAAGGGGATGAGTTCTCTTACGACAGTGTGTAACATAATAAATGCTTATGTAACATGAAAAGTTGTGAATCTAAATCATTGGTCAGAGTTATGTTTATAGAAATGTTTGATATTAATTCACAATGAGACGACATAAGTATTTATCTGAAAACGTTATTCTACCATAAGAGTAATACTCTATAATAAAGAAACGTTGTCTTACTTAGTATGTAAAAGTATAAGATACATATGTTGTTAGTGACACACCCCGTCCCGAAGGAGGGCGTGCTGGCCGTCACGTGAGAGTGACGTAACCATTTACACAGTTCGGAAGCTTTAAAAAAAATTCCAATTACTAAGATAACACACCCGAGGGTGAGTCCTACTTTTGTGAATTCTGTCAGAACACCGCTGGATTCCTCGTGGCCACCAAAGCTCTGCTAACTTGAACCTGGAGGGGCGCAAAACAAAATTGAGTGGGTCAGTAAAACAAAGTTTTTCGAAGACTTTTCATTTAAAACATTTATAACCCCTCACCGTAAAACCTGTATACTTTCCCAGAAAATAGCATATATATAACATATATATAAGCAAAAAGCTCAAATCTCAAACCTTTAACACTTTTCAGAAATATATATATATAATCTTAGGCAACAAAGGTGGAATGAGTTGCTTAGTGATTATGATTGTGTGACGAGGGTGGTCAAGCTAATGTTGTGGCTGATGCATTTAGTAGGACTCACCCTCGGGTGTGTTATCTTAGTAATTGGAATTTTTTTTAAAGCTTCCGAACTGTGTAAATGGTTACGTCACTCTCACGTGACGGCCAGCACGCCCTCCTTCGGGACGGGGTGTGTCAGTTAGACCAAACCTGAATTATCAAATTTGGGTAATAAGTATTTATCTAATTTTGGCAATAGAATCTTACCGATTGGTAATAAGTAAAAAATGTTATTTTTATTAGACTAATATATTGTCAGACTATGAATATAAATGATTGATTATATTGATTTTTATTAAAATGTGACATTAATATTCACAGATGAACAAAATAAGCATTACTGTTAGGGGTGGATCAAGGTGGGTTAGTTAAGCCTATGGATGTCAAAAAGCTGGTTGGGGACCCATGGTCGTCTGCACACCATGTGTTCGATGAAATGACCAACCAAAAATTCCTCAAATCTATCAAACGAAACGTCTCAAAAAGATCTGAAGGCCTTGAAATGAGAGAGGATGCCTATCAAATATCTTCTCAAAATATTCGTCGATATCAAACTATCTGTCAATATATTTGTAATAAATTGAGGAATCGATATTTTTGTGAATATTGATATTTAAAACCTTCGTTCGCCCAACTCTCATCTCCTCTCTCTCCATCTTTAACCAAGGCGAAGGCATTGTTCAAATCGGTTCCCCTCTCCATGTTATTTATAAGGTTCAAATCGTTTAACTTTCATTGATATTTCTGTTTAAATTGTTTTAAATTATGTTTAAATCTTGACCTCATGTGATAAAAAATTCTGAATCCACCAATGATTACTATATTGCATGTGTTTGGAATGAGATCATTTTCCTCTATATAATGTTACCCATATGCTAATTGGTTATTTCTATTTTGTGGAGTGCTTGGAGTTTTTGCTGCATAAAACTATTATTATCTTAAGCTTATATTTTAAGTTTTGCTCATTGCCAGGATTGCAGGAACTGAACCCATGCCCTTAAAATAATGTGTAGTACCATTTTCATTTTAATATGCCTTAATCCCCAAAATTGGCCTTTCTGGCTGCTTCTGTTTACTTAGTTTCCTATGTTTTATGTTTGGAGATTATAAACTTATAATTACTATTCTTGGTAGGGGATTGAGCTTATACTAATATACTATTTATAAGCCTTGTGCATGCTTGCATGCGCGTTTAAGGCATGTTTTTATGTGTTTGTTAGTAAAAAAATTTGACTAGAATATCACACACCCACATACAAACTTAGGCCTAATTATAGCACTTTATTAACACTATATATTACAGTGTTCTACAACTGTTAATTAGATCCCATCGCCATTAGTTGAAGGAATATTCTTTAGGAGACATCTTTGCTAACGTACTCAACAAACAAAATTTATTTTAGTGGAAAAATCAGTGGATTTGATTGTATATTACGGAATACAATTTTCAAAGAGGGCATTCTAGAGGCTCTTTAAACAAACAACAAACACAGCTTAATTTGGTCATGCCGTAAGTATTTATTCCATATCATCTTATTTAAGGAAATTCTAAGTTTAGATCTCATAAATAACAGTTCTCAAATGATTATGATAATGGAGAAAAATCAAGTAACATGATACTTAGAGCTCAAGACTTGAATGTCACTTAAACTCATAAATAATCGAATTTAGAACTTATAAATACTCTTAATCATTTGAATTGCAAGTCTTTGCACATTCATTTTATTAGTATGTCAGTACTACTGATTGGAATAAAAGAAAATGAAACTTCACTAGTAGAAAAAAAAAAGCTTGCGCAACGAGATTTTGCGCGATGAAACATTTTTCGTTGCATAAGAGGCACTTGCACGACGAACAAACATATTCGTCTCGCAAAAATGACAGGAAAGGGAAAAAAAATTATGCAATGAAACTATTTGTCACACAAGAAAACTTGGCGTGACAAATACTTATTGTCGTCGAGCAAGAAAACGAGGGAAAAAAAAATTGCCGCCCAATGTTTGCGCGACGAAAATTTCCACATATTCATCACGCAAAGTTTCACTGAAACAGTTAGATGCCTTCAACCACTCCCATTTAGTGC